CATTTTAAAGGCATTGTCCATCGAGGACGTATTGAAAGGAATCATCCTTCTCATTGGTCCTTCTTTTATGGAGCCTTGAAACTACACACTTATTTACGTTAAAGCTTAAGAGCCAACGAGCAGAACAGTTACTAATTTGAATGAGATTCCCTTGAAGTGCTTGCTTATCGGCGTCAGACCTTATAACTCTCTTGAGTTTGACGCCGTCAGCAAACATGATGGCGCTGCAACCCAGGTCGTGGACGTAGTCGATGATATAGATTAGCAAGAGCATTGGCCATATGACAGAGCCTTGAGGGACGCCATTTAGAACATGCGTGGAAGTTGACTTCGTGTCACCGATGCACACTGTTTGCGAAAGTCTGTGAGAAATTCTGTGATCGATGCCCGCAGGTTTCCTATCATTCCAATTTCCCATAATTTATACATTAGACGTTCATGTGGGGCGCTGTCGACCGCTTTCCTGAAATCCATATAGATGACGTCAACCTTACCATCCGCATCTAGTGTACGAGTCTACGGTGTAGTCGAGAGCAATAGACTGAAAATGGAAGAGTGGTTCTGTCTGAAACCATGTTGGAGTCCTGACAGAAAGTTGCTCTCCCCCTGGAACTGCATTGTCGCCTTCTTGATAAAATGAGGCTAACGGGCCGATAATTGTTTACGTTAGTTTGGGCCCACCCTTGTATATTGGGTAAATATTTGCTGTTTTCCAGTCAAATGGCAGTCTTCCTAATTCACATGAAGGACAAGAGAACAGTGTGCTAGGGGCTTTGAGAGCTCACTTGCCGATTCTTTCAAGAACTTGGCCCGTATATTGTCTGAACTGGCTGACCTTGCTTCTTTGAGGGTTTGCAGCTCTCTTTCAACTACCGAAGTTGGGAATACTAAAGACTTGAGCACTGGACTAGCTTCTGCAGCAGTATAGTTAACATTGTCAAACTGAAGCTTGGTTTCTCTAGTGAATACCGAAGCAAAGAACAAGTTACAATACTCGGCTTTCTTGCTATTCTCAACGACTTCCGAGGCATTATCATCCTTAAGTATTCCGACTGGGTCCTTGTTCTTCAATCTGCTAATAATATGGCAAAATTTGATTTTGGGCTTGTCTTCAATCTGTTGAAGCATTCTTGATTCATAGAAAAAATCGCTTATATATAGAAATCCTTCATCCCGAAGTTAATCTAATAAAATCAAAAAGATATATTCTAGGACGTTATTCTCAGACAAGGGCAGGACTTCGAAGCGGATGGGTCTAATCGTGCCACAGTGGACATAAATTTATTCTAACTTTTACCTTAGGCAGAGTACGCGAAACAAGGATCCAATACGCCTACTAAGGACCGTGGTTTGGCATACAAATTAAGGGGATGGGGCAAAAGCTGATCGTCCTTCAGGATATTCTCGACTGGTTTTAATAAGATAGACTAGCCTGCGGATGACTTCGAAGAGAACACAGTGGCTAAGACTGTTCAGATATTCGAGACAATTGTTCTAAAGGAGGTGCCATAACTCAGATAGGGTCTAGGTGGAAATTATGAAGGAGCTCGCTAATTAATTGGCAGTTCCGCTGTAAGGTGCTGAACCTTTTCACCCTCGAATTTTGACGCTCCAGAGGCGATCATTCGTAATGTGCAAAGTGATCGTTGGCGGTAGCATCCCGGAGCTTGCACACTATTTCCAACTGCCCGTCGACTCTCAAGGCGCACCGTGAATGCACGGAACAATCTCTCCCCCCAATGTTGTTGCTTCCGACACTATGAATAACGATAGCCATAGTCCTGCCACTCAAAACACACTGGATGTCATAGTGTATAGCCATAGTCCCGCCACTCGAAACACACTAGATGTCATAGCGCTTAATGCAGGGTCTGGTATAAATCAGGTGGCTCAACTGCGAGCAATTGCTTTTGAGATGACGCCCGATGTTATATGCATAACAGAATCTTGGACCCACCCAATCATTTCCGACTCCTCCCTTATCATAGACGAGTATGATCTCTACCTTCAAGATCGCATCAATAAGCGTGGTGGTGGTTGTCTTCTCTTTATTAGAACGTCATTTAGGAACTTACCGTTTTATCTAAATAGCATGTCCCCCTCTGGAAATAACTTTTTTGATCCTATTATCCTGTCGCCCCGGCAGAAGGCAATTATTGGATGTGTATATAATCCTCCTAACTCTCCACCCGAAGAAGATGCATATCATTGTGAAATATTCAAGTTTATTTCAGAATCCACGTTTGAAGTTAAATTATTGCGGAAGATTTTAATTTTCCTGAAATTGACTGGCTTTCAAA